CCATTCATTACTCAGATCTTATGTGCATATACACTTTAATTATCATACACTGTTAGATAGAAAATAAGCTATGGAGAAAGAACAAGGATATTCAAGGAATGCCTATATGAATTCTGAAAGGAATTTTTAAATGCGCGAAAATACCGTTTTCAAGAGGAAAGAAATAAGAAATTCGATTTTCTAGTTAGAAAATCGAAAGTGAATTCATATAGGCATTCCTGGAATTTCGCTTATGATATATCGATTAGAACATATTTTACAAATTTGAAAATCAAGTTATTTTATACTCATTTTAATATAGCACTTTCAATTTATTATATATATGATACTTTAATACATGATGCATAATTATGAAAAGTTCACCATTAAATAAAAGTGAAACAACTTTTAAAAAGTTAACAATAAAAAAACAAATAGTTCATATTCACAAAAAAATAAGCATTTCTACATACAAACATAAACATACATTATAGATTTGAAGACCTGGTATGAAAAATGCGAAGGAAACGAAGTGTTAATTTAAATCAATATTTAATTTATATTCATTGAAAAATCTTTTTGCAGCCACTGATAAAAAAAATGATCTTCTTTTAAATGATAATCCATTCAAAACCTCGAGTGTTGCACGAATTTTTGTTGGATATTCTATATTGAATATTTCATAAGAACCAATCAAAACAGCCATTGCTTCAGCTTGAGAATTCGTTGTAATTAATTGATTATATTCAATAACGATAGAATAATTTGTAGTATCATTGACCTTTTGGATTTGAATCATTGGATAAGCATCTATAGTTTCCTAAAATAAATAAAGATAAAAATTAAGAATCAAACTTGAAAATTTCTATTTTATTATCGATATAGCACTCACATGATGTAATAATAGTTTCTTCGAATGTTTATAACGTTTCATGATTAAATGTTCCAAGATAAAGAAAGGTTGCTCTTCTAAAATAAGGAAGATAATATAGGATGATAATTTAGAAGTATTACCTCTAATAATATTTTCTTTTTGTGAATGATCCAAATATTTGAGTAGTTTCGTGCAACTTGACTTTAATGTTTCAACAATGTCTCCATCGAATGGATCAAAATGGACATTAATTTCACGAATTATCTATACACGAAAAATAAATGAAAGTAAATCAATTTTTTATATAACAGTGAGAATTGGTGAGTTAAAATAATATATTCTTTAAGACTTACCAGATCAATCACTGTTAAAGCTGGATATAAATCAATAATTTGTTTTATTGGCTTCATTTCTTGCACAAGACGGTGACGATGTGGATACGTTATGTCCATTTTTGCTTTAATTTGACCATAATCATAGTTTGTTGTGTTTATTAAAACACGCATTGAATCAGCTTGTTGAGACAATTGCATTAAACATTCTTGAGATTGTTCTTTTTCTTGAATCAAATACTCCTAAAAAGAGAAAAAAAGAAGTTGCAGAATAAAGCAACATTTAAGTACTTACACGATGAGATACTAAATCAACTTTAACAAATTTTAGCTTACGTCCTGACAATAAATGACCATATGACTGTCGTTTTTTCAGTAATACATCAGATGAACAACCATATTGTTGACGATCGCGTGAAAATTGTTGTTTTAATGCTGATGTTAGTAAACTCTAAACGAGAAAGAAAATATGGTGAAAATAAAAAAAATATTCAATATTGTATCACTTATACCATATCTTCGCCGAATACTTTACTAAGTGCTGGATATTTATTTTTCACACTAACAACCATTCGGTCAAATTCAGATGCAGTTGGATAAAAGTCAATGCCATAGGTATTGGCTACATCATCACGAATTGTTTTAACAAGTTGTTGTTTTTTTCTGCACCGCAGTCCAAAATCTGTTTTCGATGGATCTTCTGCAGCTTTCTCGAAAGCTTTATCAAATTGTGGAAGCACGTAATTCAATGGAAATTTTTTTTTCGATTGAGATATTGACGTAATTGAAGAATTATCTAATGATTGGTGGATTCTTTGATCGATTGTTGTATCTTGTGGTGGTAAAAATTGTGAACTCGAGGAAGATTGATCATTCAATTGATTTGAAACATTTGTGGTCGATAAAGAAACTTTGAGATGATCTTGATTACCAATAACGTGATGTTCAGTATCAATGTTAAAGTCATGAAAAAATGATAAATTATTTGAAGCGTTTGAATTTATTTCATTTATTAAAATGTCCGATTGTTTTTCATTTAATGTCAAAATATTACTAAGTGGAACAAAAAAGAAATGAATGATAAGAAACGAAAAAAATAAACACTCACCTAGAACTTGAAAAAACATCTGATTTTAACATCTCCAGCTTTTTTTCGAACTTTGTTTTAATACCTATTGTTGGCTTCTTAATAACATTATCAATAGTATTGATTGATAAAAGTTCATCGATTGATGATGAACTCAAATTTAAAAGAGTTAAACCATCAATTTCTTCGTCTAAAATAAGGTAAAATAAAATAAAATAAGATAAAAATAGATTTACATAAAAAATAGATGATTTCTGAATACCTTTAAACTTATTTACGCATTTGTCAAAACCATTCTCCATCAACCATATTGAAACATCTTCCTGAGTCCAATCCATCGAAAATATATCTAAAATAGATTAAAAAGAAAAAATATATATGATTTTAGTTTTTTTGAAGCTGTTGAAGAAAAATAAGCGAATATCAAATATTTATTAAATATCGAATTAATAAATGAACATAAGTACGTACAAAAAAAAAGATCATTCAATAACAGTTAATCGATAAGGTACACGAATGAAATATGAATTATTTATATAATAACAATCTTCTGCTTTATGCGTTAAAAATTCATTTTTACCCAATATGCAATTATTGTTTGATGGATTAATTTCATAACACCATAAATTTTGTCTAAATGTAATTGTATCATAACATTGAACAATAAAACGCCATTGTTTGACTATATGAATAATAAATTTAATTTTAACGAATAATGGAATTTCTTCTCCACCTAATAAATAAGCAACAAAAAAATCTCCGACCTTGTATTTAACATTATCTATCAATACCCATTTGACAAATTCAACAATGTCGCCATAAATGAATTGATTGTCATCAAGTAATGCTTTTTGTATTGATTGATTAAAAGTTATTTTGCGTCGTGTATGAATTTTACCACTAACATTATTTAATTTAAATACATTTTCATCAATTAATTCGTAACACTGGCGAAGTTGTATACGTTTAGAAATCGTGTATGGTAAATTAATAAAATTATTACATCGATTGGCGATTTGTTTTAACAAATGATGTTTTGCTTCATAACGTAAATTCATTTGCCGTTTTAAAGGACCATATTTTGCTGTATTTCGTGCTGCATGAAGAAGATAGTGAAACTTGGGAGTGAATTGTTCAGGAAAAATTGTTTGAAACAATTGTATAAATTCTTCAATTAATTCTTGAAGAGTTGACAACCAAGATTTTCTTGGAAAATCACAGTATAACATATCCCATATTTCACGTAATAGTTCATATAAAAACCAATAAGGAATTTTGTCAACAATATTGAATAACATAAATGGCAAATTCAAAAATAAACAATATTTTTCCATAGCTTTTCCTACAAGAAAAAAGATATATATTATTGATTCCAGAGTGATAGTTTTTTGTGTTATTTCTTTTTCTTTTTAATGATCACCAAGTGTCGAATTCATTGTTGAGATCAAAAAAAAAAGATTTGATGTTTACCTCGAATAATTTTTTCCGAAATATCTTTTTCTTTCAATACAGTTGGTCGATTTCTTTTATCGTTGCTACCATAAGTAAATTTGTTTATCATTTGACATATTTTTGAAGATGTGCATAAACGATTAGACACCACCACGTGTAATAGGCAACTAGTTAATTTAGGCATGATACCTTCCATTACATCATGCATCAAATCGGGTGGCAGAGAAGTAATAGGATGAAACGATGAAATAAATGATAATGCTGATGCTTCATTGATACCATACATAGATTTATCTGAAGGCACGTTTTCTACATGTTTTAGCTGAATATCATGCGATTCAGCTGTACGAATTAATGTTTGTGATTCCTTGTAAATATGTTTTATATCGTGATGATGCGTGAAACAATAACGACAAAAATAACCAGTAGTAAAAGTTCTTGTAAATCCACCAAGTTCATGAGCTAAATAAAAATAAAATTAATAGAAGAACTAAGTGTTAAATTATGTAGGATATAAATTTACGCCAGCCATGGTAGTATTAAATAAATTGTACATCAAATGCAGTGTTCGTTAAAGAATACTTTAATTTTAAAATTATTCAACTTTTTAAAAATTTTCGCTGTCACCCTTTTCTTTTTACAAAATATTTTATTGAAAGATTTACCTGCTAGATTATCAGCACATAATGTGCTAATTGTAAAATAAGTCGGAGTTTTATCACCAGGTAATATAAGACCATCATTTTCCAAGCTTCTTAAATCTTGACCTAATTGTTCAAATAAAATTCGACGATTGTTTTGATCTTCAAAATCTTTTTTATAATATAATAAAAGTAAATATACGACACTTAAAGAAGAACTATGGCGTGATGGTAAATCATCAAGCGAAAAATAAAATGTTGTCAATTTGTGTACAGCAGTCTTACCCATCAATGGATTAACAACACCTAAATCATCAGAGTACAACTGTAATAATAAAGAATTTTTTTTATTATTTAAGATATGATGTTGTCGTCCAATTTCTGCATTTCGATAATGATAAATAATATCTTGTTCATGAAATTGAGATATAAGTTCTTTTTCTTGTTTAATGCTGTCATAAAAATCTTTTTTTTCAAATAAATTCATAAGTAGATCACATAATGGAATGTAATAAGCTTTATTTCCCGTAGGTAAGATTATTTCTTTTGGTTTGACAAACTTGAAATAAATTTGACAAGAAGAAATAAATGAATCTTCACTTTTTGATATTTCAAATAATGTTTTTTCAACATCATTGTTAAAATTGTTTGATATGGCATTATCAATATTCATGTGAAGTTTTGATAACAAATGATATGAAAAAATTTCTAACAGACAAGTAATAGATAATACCATAGTCTTCATAATATTACCAGGAAGTACATGACCTTCTCGTACTTTTAACAGCATCTTCAAATAAAATTTTTTGATATCATCTAATGAATCATGATTTTCGTATTGCCACGATAAAATTCGTTGTTCTTGTTGTTCACCTTGTTCTTGTTGTTCATGTTGTTCAATTTCAATTTCACCATAATTGTTTAAATTAAAGTCATTACAATCTAGTAACAATGGCAACGGAGGCATTTCTTGAGAAGAACAACCTAAATGATGATTACGAAAATGATTCATAAAAGATTTTAGATTAGTAAACATAAAACAAGAGTCACACAATGGACAGTTTGTGCCAAATAAACGATCATTCCCATGCACTTGTCGCATATGGCGCAGGTATCCAGCTTCTCCGTCAACACTTACAGGACAAATGGTACATTGTTTAACACGACTAATAGACATTGATGAAGTAATAACAGATATAAATTGAATAAATCAAATAAGCATAATCTTAAAGTGAAAAGAAAAAATGCATAATATTAAAATTCATAGCTATGTGGCTTTTTTGTTTTCTGGATACAATAACTACTAATCCCATACATGTGAAATATAGTAGATATACGAACATGCTTCTTCTATATATAGCAACAATATGGGTACCAAATAATGAAAAATAAGTGATTGCATAATAGTTCAATAATGACCTAACAATAGGCGACGTCAACGATGACAATGGTTACCAAAGACGAAGAGGACGACGAAAATGAATTCGAAACAAACAAAAGAAAAATGATGTGAAATATATGTGCTGAATAATATGATACTAAATTTATCTAGCGTCAATACAATGGAAAAGATGGCGATACGATAAAAGCAAAAGAAAACGAATAACTAATGGAGAAAAGTTATTCGTCGTCCAACTTAGTTTCATCTTATTTTTCCAAACTTGAAAAGAATTTTTAAGTATTTTCTCTTCGTTCCGATCAGTCTCAATTAAGATGTAGCTACTTTTTTGGAAAAAATTCTTTAATATTGTAGCAATAATTGATTTTGCTGCAAGAATCGGCATCGTAAATATAAGATATAAAATTTAACACATTTTTGGTCAAAGAATATATAAATTCGCTACAAGCTGACCTAACATATGCATCAAAGGCATTATCAACATAGATGAATGAAAGCAATTTTGTTTACATGTTTCAAATAATCGTACGCACTCTTGCTAATGTAAAGTATTCTAGAATAAAATTTCGCACTGTTCAGGTCTCAAGTTACTAGTTGTAATTGAAAAATCTGTGCAACTAACTTTTCGTAAATAATCAGTAGAACTTAATATAGTATAGCTAACGAATTTTGTCTAATAAATGAATAAAAAAATTGAATCTGATCACATTACAAATATATTGGACTGAGGAAATTATGGATTGTGAACATTAGGAACCAATCATATAAACTAATTTAAAAAAAGCTAGTGATAAGTACATAACTATAAACATCATTACTTTTCCGAATTCGTAATTGATTTTCAAATTATGTTCATAATCCGTATCGATTTTCTCCTTTTTCGAAAATCTATGTTTTGAGAAAATCAAATTGAAATTTTGTCATTTTGAAAATCAAAGATTTTCAAGATGCACTGAATTCAATAAATGAATCATGAAGCGCTAAAAATCCTCAAGCTTTCTCATCCTCGATTTTTGAAAAGATAGAATTTTAAAAAAAATTACAGTGTATTAGTCTTACTGACTCATATTTTTTATCTAAGAATAGGTAAAGAATAATCACGTCTACATTTTTTTAAAGTATGTCTGATTTTTAGAAAAACCACTTCAAAATGACAACTGAAATTCTGTCACAATTCAGTGAAATCTCACTTCAAAATAAGAAATGAACGATATTCTATATAACGATGACTTGTTGATACACAGTATCAAAACGATAAGCAAGAAAACTAAATTGATCAGGTTCCCAAAGTACTTGATTATCTACAGAAACATTTAAATACCAGAACAAAAGTGAAACAAATTTTTTTAAAATACAGAAAAAATCGTACTCCAGAACAACACTGAGTTTTTTTAGAACAAATAGTAAAATATAAGAAGTAGATTTTACAGGAATTTAATTAAAACTTCTTGATTAACCGTTTCATGACGACTCGGTTTTTTGAAGAAAATAACTTCAATATATCAATTTTCATGCATGCTCACGCTCGATAAATGTACTCATTGATTTTTTTCGATGTATGGAAGTATCCATATTTGTCACTAGGATTTTTCCAATAAAATTTACTATGTTCGTTTTTTCTCATCCTCTTTTCTTCTGTGATACATGGGATTTTTCCGACTTGTCCATACATGCATATATAAATACATACATCATTCTAATCGAGATAATGAAAATAAGCTAAAGTCACATTTTTCAAAATTTGCAATTTACATGCTATTCGAAGAAACGGATACAGAGGAAAGCGGCAACGCACAGAGTGATGTGGACAGTTTGGATGATGTTTTTTCCAGAATGCAATCCGAATCTTCAAGCTCCGAAGAACAAGTTACGGATGGTGATGATGATGACGATGATGATGTGGATTCACAAGTCTGGGGCGAAATAGAATCAGAATCGGAACCTGAATTCTCGGAGAATTATGGAATGATGGAAGAAGTACTGGCAAATTCGTAAGATAGTACGATCAATCCTATCGATTGTTATCGACATTTTATCACTGATGAGATTATTAGTCTCATGGTTCGTGAAACAAATCGATATGCAGAGCAACATGTACAAACGCAGAAGCTTAGCAAACGGTCAAAAACTCTTCAGTGGCGACCAACTACTAACGAAGAAATGCTCAAATTTTTGGGAATTATAATTGAAATGGGATTAGTACAAATACCAGAAATAGATTACTACTGGAGCAAAAGCAAGTTGTTTGGATCTGAAGTCATTCAAAATACGATGTCAAGAGATAGATTTGAATTACTTCTCAAATTTCTTCATTTTTCGAACAACCAAGAAGAGCATGCAGATCAAGACAGGTTGTTCAAGCTGAGACCACTTTTAGATTTATTGAGAGCTAGATTCAAGCCAATTTACGTTCCTGGCTCAGTTATTTCTATTGACGAAACAATGGTATCAAGGAAAGAGAGACTTTTGTTCAAACAATATATTCCTGAAAAAGTGCACAAATATGGCGTAAAGGTATACAAGCTAGCAGCTACTAACGTATACACCTGGAATTTTCTGGTTCATACTGGTAAGCAGGATCCAACGACTGGTCTTGGGCACGCTCAAGCTGTCGTACTCGATTTGGCAGATGATCTTCTGGAATTTCATCGAACTGTAGTAGTTGAAAACTTCTTTGCAAGTATGTCTCTCGCAGGAAGTTTATTGCGAAATGATACTTACCTCATTGGAACATTGAGAAGCAATCGCTCTGGATCGGGGCATGGAATGATTCACAAAAAGCTCAAACGTGATGAAGTTTATGGTCTTCAGAGTAATAACGGTATAAAACTAATCATATAGAAAGATAAACGAAATGTTTTGATGATATCCACAAAGCCATCACATTCAGCAACTTTGGTAGACACCAAAACAACTAATAAAGCCAATGAGCGCGCTATGAAGCCACAAGTTGTTCTCGATTACAACAAGGGAAAGCAAGGTATAGACGCATCTGGTTAATTATCAACATACTATACATGCCTTCGACGTTCCAAAAAAATGGTACCCCAAGGTAGCATTTGAGATGATATTTGGAGTGTCAATAGTGAATGCTTATTTGATTTACAAAGAATATTATGACACAAGCGGTATGACGATACTACAGTTCCATAAAAGTCTTGTGCGATCTTTATTCCTTGATGTACCATTTGAAAATCTGAAATTTGGCCCGAGAGAACGTTCAACCAGCCAAACAAAGCGTAAGTTCGCGGATTACAAGCTCGAAGAAATGGAAGGATCTGTACGTGATGTTCGAAGAAAACGTGTTGGTTGCTGTGAGAAGATTAGGCAACAACAATCAAGAGAAGCAAGTTCGATGGCAGCAAAGAGAATAAAAACGTTCTGTCCTGACTGCGACAAATTCTTTTGCCTTGATTGTTTCAATGCAAAGCATTCCTCTAAATAATAAAATAGATCAACCAGTGACAAATGTAGAATAATTGTAGTATTAACCATGCCTTCCTGTTTAAGAAAAAAGAAGAAAATCTACTTTTTCACCATTTTTCTCGTTAAAATACACTGTGAATCACTGGTGGCTCACATCGCCGTGAAAGGGTTAATGAAAAAATTTATCAATTTTGGTATACAATTGTCAACGGAGATCCAACATTTCAAAAATATGAATTAAAAATTATTCTTAATACCAAGCATTGTTATTCTTCAAATACTCTCTAGCTCAATACAAATCAAACTTATAATGTAAAAAGATTTCAGTTTATCTTCTCTTGTAATATTTGTTTATTTAGATACTTTCCATGACTTATTAGCAATCTATTTCAAACAATAATTATATTAGAATTTTCATTTTCTTTTTGGTTATATCTTGCATTTTTGCTTATATTATAATCATATTTATTAATCAGTCTATAACTTTATATTCAATAAAAAATATAAAACTGTAAATATTAATTATAGTTTTCTTTTTTTTCTGTTGTAGACATATACATATTATTTGTTGATAACACTACAACTGAAACAGATCATCTAGTTCTTATATAGTATGTTCTACATCTCATAATTATTTTATATAATGTTCAGATAAATATAAAACAATCTACTATTCAAACATTACAGATTATTTGCAATCGATCTTGAATATGAATATTGATTCATTATTGTTTCTTATAATTTTCGTTTATTTATTTTCACTCTTATTATTAAATTTTCATTTTCAAAATAAAATCAAACTAATTATTAAAATGTTAAATAAAGATCATATTAAAATTAAGAATCTAAAAAGCAACAAAAATGAATTAAAATTATTGGATTTTGTACTATTGAAACCTTATGAAGTTTTTTCTATTAATGAAACTACATCAGAAATACAATACAAGAATTAATAACAATAGCTAAGAAAATATATATAGTGACATTATTTCCATATGATTATGAGAAGTTAAATATACATTATCTTCAAATAGAACTGATACAAGATAAAATATCAATTATAATAAATATTAACTTTTTTAATGGATATAATATTGTGTTACCAGAAATAGATGAATTATTATCGGTTATTTTTCCTCTATCAAAGTCAATTCAAGTTTTAGATACATCAGACAGATTTAGCTATGGCCATGGTTTCAATTTAATATATAGTCCACATAATATGCAAAACTGTCATTTTGTGAATATACAAAATCTTTTTGAAATATGGTACAATAATACTTTTCAACATAATGAAAATTGCGGTCAACTACTTGATTATAATCAGATAGATGGTCCATTATGTACATGTTCATATCGTCCACTAAAATTTCCTAGTGATCAATGGTCTCTTAAAGATGCTATAGCATATGCATTTCAAGAAAATCTTAATCATACCAATTTTCTTTTATATGAATAACAAGCAATCACAAAATGTGCAACAGTTATTAATGAAAAGTGGGATTATGTAAAAATTCAAGATTATATTAAAATTAGTCACACGATACAAAAAGTAATATTTAATTTTCTCTCAATAGTTTTGATATTGAAGTGATTATTTCATTTAGAATGAATAAATAGCAATACGTCCTGATGATCTATCACAGATGAACTAACATTTTCGTTAGGTTTTTAAAGTAATACAAATACATTTGCATGTTTTAAGTCTTTTTTGCTTTTTAGATAAGTTTTTATCTTTCTCTTTTTCATTAACAATAATAACTATAATAATTAAATTTATTATTTTTTCATGTCTTTTAGATATAAATATATATAACAAGACTCCTCAAAAGTACTACCTTTTTATAGATACAAAACGCATCGACATAAATACAGTCTACATAATTTTATTTTATATTCCATATCATTTAAGCACCCTACAAATTTTATTTCTAACAAACTTTTGATTGCTATAAATATGGTTGCAGGTAAGTAAATCTTGAAATTAGCAGAATAATTCCTGTTTATTGAAGGTCTCGATTGATTTGTTTTCATTTGATGGACTCCTTTATTATTATAATCATTATTAATTGTCAGAGCCAAATTATGATCAGCGTAGCAACAAAGAGATCCAGACTTTAGCAACTAGACTCCCATCCTCACACTAAAGACACACAGTTATCTATTATACTTACCTTTAGTGTAATAAAGAACATCTACCATTTGTGAAGTTGATATAGATTTGAACTCGAAGACACCTTTCCAGTGTCTATGAATTTAAATTGATATTTATTTCAATATTCAGACATATTTTCTACCATCTGATAAGGCTCATGAATTAAGTAGAAATCCATGTAGTGATACTTATTTTGTTCAAAATTCACCGTTTTAATACAAATCTGTATGCTGCTTTTGAAATTATCTTAAACTAATTTTTCAGTGATTTTATTCTCTCTTTAAGTTAATTTGCATAAAAGTTTCGATTACTGCAGATCTTGCACCACTTGATGGGCCCTTGAAATTCGAAGCCAACGCATTATTGTACGTTTAGTTATTTGACTCCAATATATTGTAGTTAAGAAATCTCTGCTACCATTAAACATTTGAATATTGAGAATTGAAAGGTTCGTTGAATCTTTTGATTTTTTAATAGTCGAATTTTAATGCAGTGTGCTAAAGCTACCTGATGAAGATCCCTTGAGAAAGGATTGAAACCGGTCGCGGCTTTTCTTCTTTGAAATACTCACTCTCACCCTCACTTTTTACGATTTGTATAGCTATTGCCATGCATATCTTTTGTCTAGCAATGGTTGCTTAAACAAAGTTATTAAATACTGTAGAAGAATACGACGAGTGCTCTAGAGACGATTTTCTCAACATTTAGATATTGAGGGGAAACTTCGGCTGTGTACTCCTAACTGTGTGTCAATGAGCGGCCACACCTAAAAATAATATAACTTACGAAACGGTTTTGGACTTAAAGCTTATTGGTTATGAATAATTGAATATGGTGGGTTTGAATATCGAAAGGTACACTATCTATAAAAGCTTACCGGAAACCTGTTCCTGTTAAGTTAGTAATAGACCCAACAGAGCAGTTACGCTGAAATTTATTTTTTTATTTTGGCTACTAACATTGGAGAGCAGGTTCACTGGGTTCGAATTTTTGGTTGTTGTAAGCAATAACGAGCGATGACGTTTCTTAACAGACAGATGCCTTTCCATTCGGTCGACCATTCTGAATCATATTTTCACTAATGACAAGCACACATCATTTCTGAGGAGTGACGCATTTTTTATTAGAAAAGCGTTATAGGCTTCCAGTGAAAAATTTTGAAAACTGTTGTTAAATAAAGTCCGCGAATTGTTGACGAAATCTGTTCAGCCTTTTTATTTCTTTTTTGAAATTCGCGGTTTCCTGCGGAGTTTTTTCATTCAAAAACCACACAAAAATGTGTCACAGTGTCTACTAAACGTGTTTCTTTGCGGGCAATACGGCTGTTTTCCGCTTTTTCCCGCAGAAAAACACGTTTAGTCGACAGCGTGATGCGTTTTTTGAATGAAAAAAGTTCGCGTGTAACTTCGGAGTCGACTAAAATTTTGAACCGCGGATTTCAAAAAAATGAAATAAAAAGGCTGAACCGATTTCGTTAAAAATCGGTGAATTTTTATAACAAAGCTTCACACTGGATAACAAGCTCTTATTGTTAGGAAGGGTGTCAAGTTATGGACTTATTTGGACTAAAATGAACGTACTAAGAAAATAATTACTTGGAATCGGCGTAAAAGTTCGAGTCGAACTATTGTCTTCTAGATTATCAAAACTTTTCAAAAAAAAGCCTCCTATCAAGAATTTTCGCCAAAAAAGTCTTTTTAAGCTTTCTTTTCACGAATTTTCGTTACTGGATATGCTGCTAGAAGATATCTGGCGAAAATCGAGTCGTTCGTACTATAAAAAACCACGCATCCGTCTGCGTGGGAAAGTGCTATGAGGAAAAGCTGGTTTGGAGCCATTCGAACCTCTCCAAATCTCCAAATCCCCAGAACAGTTTTTTCCTTCTTGAAAAGTGTTCGCTGCGCGGCAATTTGTGCCATAAGTTTTGCTGAAGCCAACATTTTTACCAAATTAGATGAATAGCAACACGTGCTTTGTCTTCAAAACATGAAATAAACTGAAGCGTATGCATTCTATTTTCGTGTATGTAGAATGAGTAATAATAAGGAAAAAAGAGAAAAAAATAACGATATCATAAATCAAAATACGTATCACTCTCGTCTTCATCAATAATTGTTCTACGCAAGGTATAAAAATCACGTTTTATCATTCGACGCACAAACGAAAATATTGTGTGCAGGTGAGTATTTCTCAAAGGAAACATCAGAAATCGATAAAAGCATAGGTAAAATGCAGTCTCTTTATCAAAACACTGATCTATTTTCTTCTTAATCTACAGCTATAAAACTAAGCAGAAACATTCTGGCATTTGAAGTAGCCTCATTTAAATAATATTTTATCAGCACATAAAACTCGACAGATAGCAGGTTTTGCATACCACGAGAGTATGGGAAATGTGCTTTCAAAGATTATATTATAGAAAGCTGTATATATAGAGTATGAAATGTAAAAGACCAACCGTTTCAAAATAGGACTATAAGAAGAGCACAGCAAAAACATTGTAGGAAAAATCTACTTTTCAAAAGTAATCGTTAGGTTAAAGAGATTGTTAGCAGCAGAAGAAAGAGGTTCAAAAGGTAAACCCTAGTTTGATCGAAAGAAAAAATTTCAAATGGTAAAAATATCGAAATGTAAAATGATCGAAAGATATAAATGGCAATGGTGTAAAAATGTCGAAATTACAGAAAAAAATTTTCGGTGGAAGTAAAATCGTTATATTCATTTTATTGAAAAGCTCGTATTAATAAGAAAGAAAATATACAATTAATAAAGATAAAATGTTGAAAGACTCTGAGTTAAGGAGCGAAATTGTATTGATATAAGTTTATAACTATGTTTAATTCCCCACTAGATACGACAATCCAGTAAGAAGCTGAGATGGATTGATTAAACCATCATTATATCGTTGATAAAGAGTGTCAATACGTTTTGTTTTCTTGTTGTTCATACATTTTGTTTCTTCGACGTATCGAAAGATCACTGGAGAATGATTGTTTGGAAGTTTTTCTCTTCCAATTGCATGAACTGAATAAATCTCCATATGTTCGGGTGATTACGTGAAATGCGGTGATTCATGCGATTGTTATATCCTTTAATGAGAAAGTATAGTCATCGCTTTTGAAATAGATTCCGTCTCACTCTTACCCTCACAGACGTTGTTGGTGCAGGAATTGGTGGTTGAAACATTCCATAAAGTGATCTCAGATAACCATTGTTTTTCGAAATATCTTAACAGTGGTTCGATTGGTGAGCCAGGTAGTTGTTCAGCTTCATATCGATTCTCATCGTATCCACCAAGAATTGTGTCCATCGTCATCATTGGCAGAGACATGATTTTTTTACAAAGACCACGTACAACTTCATCTCTAACATATTGTTGTTGAAGACCTAATCGTTGAATTTGTCTGATATGGCCTGAGAATAATGAAAATGACACCCATAGTGTCTGAACGAAGGAAACTCAAAAAAAACCTTACGTATTATATCAACACAGGACACTTACTTCTGTCTTCACAACCGGTAAAATCCCAGATTCAAAATCTGTTAATAGTAATTGAGGTGAAAATTGTTTTTGACGCTCTGCAGCTATTTGCTTGAGCTCGAAAAACATTTGTCGATAAGTTGCACTTTTTTTATTAATTGTCAGTCCAAATACACAAGGTACACCTAGAGAGAATTAGAAATATTTCCAGAAAGTAGTATTTAGTTTCTTTACATTTATCGAAGTTAATCGCATGAATAATGAATACTTGAGTAAAATGTGGTGGTGTCTTTGAAAATGTGCCATCCATATATATCGTTTGTGAACCAAACAATAAATTTAATTGAAGATCACTCCCGTATAACAACAGACGCTCACGTCTTGCACGTGATTCATCAAAAAGTAAAAATCTTTCTTTATTGATAATTAATTTATATAAATCAGGAATGCCAAATGAATATGAGCTAGGGAATGGAGGCTCGAGTTTTCGACGAGTTGCAAACAGCGCATGATCTAAAATAAAAAAAATAAACGCCTGTCTTATTGTATACTTTGTAGTCATTTACGAATTTCTTGATTTGTTGGGAATGCGGCTAGAATCGTACGATCAACTGATGCTTTAGCTGTTTCTTCTTCATAAATTGCACCAATTGGCGTTAATTCATTTAAATCACGTTGCTTCATATCTTGTCGAAGACGTTTTGTTTGAATTAGATCAGAATTTGGTTGATGATCATGATTGGTTTTACCACCACATATATATACGTCATTTTCATCAGTGTGAATAGACATGATGCAGCCAGGAACAACACATTTCCAATATTTCTTTCTCGGTGTCTTTTTGTTACATCTATATACATTTTCATTAAAAACTAACAGTCACTGAGCTTTGTGCGATGTTATGAATGAGATATTGCAATCTATATTAGTAGATGTATCCATTGGATTCGATAATATATACTTGTTAAAAATCTAAAAGTAGAGAAACCAATTACTTTTGCTTATGCAATATACTTCTCTTGTGTTTCTTGTTCATTTTTATTTGATAACAAAGATCTATATGTCAGCTAAGATTGGATTATTTTATTAATCAATTGCTACACTTTTAAGAATACTATGTTGCATTATTGGATGATGGTGTCATCTTCCCTAGGGTTATATAGCGGTCTCATGTTTTAGTAATACTTCGCCAATTTCAAGCATTGAAAATATTATGAGAAGGTATATGATATCGAGCTTTCTCTTTTTTTTATTTCGGGTATTTGACATTTTTACATTTCGATATTTTTATAGTTCGACATTTGTATTTTCTATAGTTCAACTTTCGACTTTTTTTTCTACATTGTTTCCTTTCGGCATTTGCGCCTTTCTACATTTTTAGCTTCGACATTATGAAGGAGAATCGTTCAGAATTTTCTTCTAAGTTTAAACGTTGTCTGTCTAGAAACATTCTTAAAACTGTTTCAACACTTTCAGATTTAACTTGTTTGAGACTTCCTACTTGCCCTATAAAGAACTGAAGTTTTAAAAAGAAGAACTTTCAAGGGGGAAACGGTAGACTTTTGCACTTGAAGTTATTTTACGCTACTTTGAAGTACTTTAAACAACTTTCCTAGTACTTTCAGCAACTTTAAAGTACTTCGTACATACTTCCGGCTACTTCGACCTACTTAGAGCCACTTCAACCGACTTCGAGTTGCTTTATACCACTGGATGACATAAATGAATTACAAAGTAATTCATCTTCTATTAATTTTCAGTAAACTTTTCTTCCAGGGTGTCCCAGGGTCTCTTGAGGATGATGGTGAAGGCGAAAACACACCTAGGGGGAAAGGGCGGACTTGAAGTAGAAAAGTACAGTAAAGTACAAAAAGTACTTCAAAGTCGCTCGAAATAGCTTAAAGTAGCTCGAAGTAGCTTATAGTAGCTTAAAGTAGCTTAAAGTAGCTCGAAGTACTTTTTAATTACGTTTAAGTAGCTTCAAATTACGTCAGAGTACTTGAAATTATGCTAAAGTACTTTAAAGTATTCTTAATGATCTAGATATACATAGAACAAAATTAAATAGTGTTGAAAAACTATGAATGATTAGTTTATTCACTTTTTACAACAGTAAATACTAGTAAAACAGAAAAAAAATGAAATGAATAAGTTTCCTAATCATGACCAGATGTTTGTTGCATGACACGAGATAAACGATCACTTGATAATTTCGTTATCTGACTCTATTGCAGCCAACAGGCCGATTGTTTGTGAAGATACTTAATATTGCCATTTATTTTGACTTTGAAATACGATTTTCTTATAGCAGGATTAATATTATCAACTATTCTTATTCCATTAAAATCTGATTTTGTTGAATTTAATATATTTTCATCATCATCACTAACACCGTCGCTTTGAGCATCAAATAGAATTTCATCAATAAGTTGGTCTGGTGCATAATTGATGACGTCATTATCTTCATTTTCTTCATCCAATCCAAACTCGTCAGTGGTGTTATTTTGTGTTCGGAAAGAATAATTAATCATTCTTGAATTTTTATTTAACATGCCGAAGATATAACTACTTAAATCATTTAAACAATTTATTTTATGCTCATTTAATTTATCTATTATTTTTGAATGTTTAACAAGACGTAATGCTTGATCGTATGCATTTGATATTAATTTTTGAATATCTAAGGTATCAATATTATCTAATTGATGTGATGATTGTAATGGATGTTCGCGTTTGTGTTTGTGATGTATGGGAAATGATAGATCTTTTCCAAATGATTATGTTTAAATTGATTTAATATTGATAGTTTTTGTGAACGTCGCATAAAATCTTTTACGGTAAAATTGACGACCGTTGAGGATGTACTGCTTAATGATCTTGCATCTCTAAATAATGACTCGCATGGTTGTGAATTGAATAAATGTATATTGATTAATGCTTGCTTTGGTAAATGTTGCTGTTTCACTAATAGCACTAAATATAGTAAATTGTGTGCGTTCAACTCAACAGACATGTATGCGGGTCTAGTAATAAAGTATTTGTTAATTTTATTTTTTCTGTTGCTTGTTGTTTGGCTGGTTTTCGATGATTTCAAAGTTGATGTTTTTTCTAAGCAAGACCACCACAGGCGACACAGAAATACTACACACCATGCTGATTGAATACCTAAATACATAGAAAGTGTTAACAATTAATTAGTTTGACCTTTTTCGTTCCTAATGTTAAAAATGGACTTACGTTCATGAATACTTGTCGATTTATCACTGTATGCTTTTACTATCATTTTTAACAATGTTAAATAAACAACTGTCGCATTGCTATCTATACTATCATTAAGAAGATTTATTACATCGTCTGATATTAACTTAATACATGAATTATCATTTTGGCGATCTTTAGGATTAATATCACTTTTCGTCAAACCATGATCTAATTTTGTATAACTATTGTTATCGATTAGTTGTTCCAAGGGGGAAAAAGCGGATCCTGGTGGATCCTGGGATCCATTAGGATCCGTCAGGATCCATAGGATCCACCAGGATCCACTAGGATCCATCAGGATCCACTAGGATCCATCAGGATCCAGTAGGATCCACTAGGATCCATTAGGATCCATTAGGATCCATTAGGATCCATCAGGATCCACCAGAATCCATTAGAACTCATTATCATTTATGAAGATAGATTAATGTTCTGAATAGCCACAAAAGCAAGGAAATCAACCAGATTCATAAAATAAGGATGCATAATTCAAAATATGTTCTGGATGAATCAATGGGAGCACCATGTGCTATTTATACAACTATGACTAGTCTACTTTACAAAGGAAAAACGGACCTTGAGACATCCCACGATCTATTGGACTCCATCCGAAGCCATTAGAATACATGGAAACAAAGTAAACAGACGAAGAATTGGCCCTAGAATTTTTGAAAACAAAAAAAAAAGAAATCCCGGAGATTGAGAGCCTGGTGGGCCCCGATGAACTTTTGAGTATCTGAATGAATTCTGCGGTTTATACGATAGAATAAGATCCATCAAGATTTAGGTGTTCCTGATTGGTTTCAGATTATTATGTTGCTTGTTAATTTCTGCTGAATTCTTCTGGATTTCAAAAGATTGTACTAGATAGTGTTGAATTTTTGCTAGAGAAAAGCTCAAGTCTTTTTGAGCTAGATTTCTGACATAGGCAGCAACGGCGCTGCACAGGTTTACCATTTTTTTTGGGGAAAATGCGTAAAACGGAAAAAAGTGTGTACCTATAAAATTTTAAGATGCCGACAGAATTTTAATTGAGATTCAATCAAGATCGTAACAGTTTATTGCTATTTCCCAATCATATATCGTCGAAGAAGCTGCTAAATCTTGAGAAAGTCGTGTAGCCGCGGAATTTCAAGACCTCGACATGGTTCATAACAGGATTCTATCAGTATCCTGAGCAGTTGACCAATGCAATTAAAAAAAGAAATATGTTAATAGATGGTCAAATCCTCAGAAAAACGTGTAGGCACGAAATAAACACGATTCTATTATGATTAGAACAAAATCTTAGAGAAATTCTGAGTCATTTTGTATTGACTTTATGTCAAGCTCTTCTCAGAATTTCAATGGCTTCTAATTGGAAAATATTTTCTGATTGCACCTCGCAGAACTCCACTTCGATTCTGTAAGGATGATATCCGATGTATTGTCAAAATTTTTGCAGGATTCTCTAAGCAGAAAAGAGAAATGAACGCACATTAGTGATTTCTATATGTTCAGTTAAAAAACTGATTAGTTCACCGCAGTAGACTGTACCATGCTATTTAATTTAACTCAAACCTCCTGTATCTCGAATTCCCTCTGAACTATTAACTTGTATTTGAACTTTATGCAAACATAAGTTATTTGAACAAAAATTCAATATAAACTTCATCTATTGATTACTTATCATAAAATTCTACCATGACTGGTTGATTTCAATTTGAATAAAAAGGTATTTTTCTGATTAGCACGGATAAATAAAATCCAGTACAAGTTTTATTGAAGTACTCGTCCTTTACTAAAAGCTTTTGTAAGAAAAAGTTAGTGCAACAGTTAAACTGATATTACAATCTCCATTTTAATGAGTTTGCAAGTTTTATACGAAAATAAAATTCAAAAAATAACTGAGTTCCATGCTGTAAATGTCATGCAATATTGAAGATAAATATTAAAAATCTTTGACGAGAAATCTTCAAAAACTCTGTCAGAATTCTTCCATTCACTGACACATAGAGACAAAGGAATATTAGAATGAAATTCAGGTACCTTCTTGATCTTCTACATTCCTGTCAGAACCGGAATAAAACACATTGCAAATGCTTCATTGTCATTTTAGTATAGTTACTGTTAAAAGTTTATTTAACAAGCACAATTTGAGTTTTTGAGATTCAAAGATTCAAAAATATTCGAAGAATCTTAAATAGGAACTGCTAAGGATTTTGGTGGAAACATTTCATAATTTTATTCAAAATCCTGACCCAGATCAGTCATAGATCTTGTTACAATCCTCAAGATCAAGCTTTAGTAGACTCTAAATGAAAATGGTAAAGATCTTCGTCTAACCTTGATATGCTTTCAGAAAGATCCTGACCATCCTTGACCTTCTCTAGGAAGGATCCGAAATGCTTGTCCTTGAAGAGACCTTAAGACAACCCTGGAAATGTTCAGAAAAGATATTCGTAAGAAGAATGCTTAAGAAAATTAGATAGAATCGTGATTGAATCTTAGAAGAATCCACTACCTGAGGATTTTCATTGCTCTTCTATTAATTCCTTGTAGGATCTTTGCCTTATTTAACTGTAAGCCAGAAGAGGACCATGACGCAGAGATCCCAAGCGAATTCTGTTAAAACTATAATAGAATCTAAGCGATATTCTTTCTGTAATCCCTATCAAGGTTTTGAGTAAGATCAAGAGTGAATCCTAGTACGGTCCATCATGTTAAAATAATAAAGAAATCTGAGTGGGAACTTGAAAAGATCCTGAGAAGAATATTTTGTCACAATGAAATATCCTGCAAACCAGTATTATTAAAATTGGAAACGGAATCCTGAATAAAATATGACATGAATCTTCAGATTCAGGAGCCCAAAATGTTCTTTCACACTTTCTCAAGGAAAAACAGGATTAACACTAAAGTAGAGGGTTGCTCTAAGTTCTGACATCGTTAGTTTGACGTGGAAAAGCGGATTCTAGAGTCCTAAGAGATTTTAGAATATATTTCTAGAAGTGTACCAAAAGCGGTCACAAATTACCGCCATTGGCTATAATTCAACACAATCCATTACAATTTATCAGAGATAACTAGAATGCAATAGAAATCATCATGTATTACAATAATATCAAACCGATCGAGGAAGCGTAAATCTTGATGGATCCAAAAAATACGCAGAATCCATGATGATATACCAAAATTTACCAAGACATAATCATCTCGGTATCCTGGATTTTTTTTCTCTTTACTTAGTTTCAAATTCTGAAGTCACTATTCCCTTTTCTCACTTAATTTATCTGAACCTTAAAGAATTTTCATATCCATTAAGATCAACTTTCCCATCCTCGTTTCTGTACGCTTGAAATAATTTATTCTACAATTCATCAGGCTCCGTCAGGATCCACTAGGATCCACTAGGATCCATTAGGATCCATCAGGATCCATCAGGATCCACCAGGATCCAATAGGATCTACCAGGATCCATTAGGATCCATCAGGATCCATTAGGATCCATCAGGATCCACCAGGACCCAGTAGGATCCACCAGGATCCACAGGATCCACCAGGATCCAAGGATCCAGGATCCGCTTTTTCCCCCTTGAGTTGTTCTATATGTGCCATACTAATTTTATCGTTCCCAATATATAAATCCGCTGTTGATGATAACAATCGATTACGCCATTTGGTAACGATATGTACCGGATCTTGAAAAAACAAGAAGAGTTGATTTCTACTAAGAAAAAACCAAGTCCAGTCATTCGGTATATCTATTTTAAATGCATGTTGATGCTTGTCTAATTTGAAATTGGGTAACGACGCGAAGAAATTACTGGCAAGATGCATGGCACTTATGTATTTGTTATCTGCATCTATTTACAATTAAGATACATTTGAGAGGAACATTGTATAAATAAAATTTACCTGTAGAAAATCCGATAATGCGAACATCTTTATCTAAACAACGTTCAAAAATATACATCCATCGTCGTAAAATATCCATAGCTGTAAATTTGTTGTCAACCCCATAAGCAGAGAGTAAAACTGGTTTCGGAAAATTTGTTGGATCATCTTCTGTTGCTATATTTTGAAACATATGCACATTCAATAATGGTGCTGTTTCATTGGTACTATAAATGATTTTAAAATCATCAAATGTATCAGCTGGATAATGTTTCGTCAATGGAATACCATCAACAATTGGTGTTGTAAATCAAATGAATGAGTTTGCGGACGAATCGTATTCAACTTTAGGAATGACACCAGTAGTACCTTCAGAACAAAATCCAAAACCTGATTGAAGCTTTTGAAGTGAGTCAAATTTAAATTCTGCTTCCGTTAAAGTCATATTCGATTTATTAATTAAATCACCAAGTGTTGACAAATGCGGTATACTACCAGGCATATTTAAACGAACGAACTCATAGCATTGTTTACCACCGAAAATATATAAGCATATGGCAAATTTTTTAATTGATTCAGTGTATCTAAAATTATTTGAAGATTGTGTAAGATTGAATACCACATTATCGATATCGATGAACATCGTTAAACACCTATTTGCTTTGTTGTTGTTTTCCGAGTCATTTTGTTGATACCATCTAATTAAAGATTGTAAAAGCAGATGCTTGTCAATAAACTCGTTAGATATAAATGTATCTCGAGTTTCATTATTTTCATTTAGTGTTAATTCTTCTTTTAGCTTCTGGTTTAATAATTTGATTAAATATGATAAACTGGTTTGAATACCGGGTTTAACAAAATATTGTCCAGTTTTAGATTTAAAACAAGATTCAGCTTTTATTTTATCTGTTTCTTCAGATTCAATTTGAAAAAATGCGAATACATCAGGTGTAGATAACAGTTTTCTTACCGAATTAATTAGGTGTATCCGTAAAATATTGAATACTGAATCACCGGCTAATGCTTTAACAATAGAAAAAAAATCATCATCCACACATGTAAATATATCATTTGGTAAAACTGATGTATCAATTAATGAACTATCTTTGTCTACGCCGAAATTCATTTCGTACAATAAATTTTATGCGGGTACCTAAAACAATTATGTTAATGTACATAGAAATAGAAGGTTTCATGTATAAGTACGTTACCGGAAAAGACTTTAAGTAACGATTGTAAATTTGCCTCGTTCAATTATTGTTAAACAGTTTGTTAATATGTTCAGAAAAAATAGGATTAGCACGACTGTTACTTGAAAATTTATCTGAAACAGATAATAAGAATATTTGAAATCCTAAAAATGTTATCAACAAACTATTGAGTCATTCAAAAGAAAATATTGATACGATTAGCAGTTATTTTATGCGTCCTTTTATGTATTTAACATAATAAGACAACTAGTCTTTTGGATATATTGAAGTGTGTAATTTAGCTCTTCTTTTATTTTTATGTATAGTTTGATTGCGTTAATTTTGATCATTTTTACTAGACTCGTCATATCTTTCTATTGTATCAAAAATTTCTAACTTTTGTATGGTTGAATAGAGCATGACTTGACCTATGGAATACCACTCTTTTTCATTTTTTTACTTTTAGCCTAAGAGAGAAAATCTAGAAAGTCTCAAAAGGTGCAAAAAGAAACTTTTTCACGATAATACCTCACACAGGTGACACCTGTTTGTGGTGAAAAGAACTTCAGATTAATGAGAATTAACAAATATGGGTCTATAAATAGCACATTGTGAAATAGTTTTCAAATTTAGTAGAAAATTTCATTTTAAGGTCAGGATTGTAGACAAGCATACATTGCTAGGCTTTCAATGATATTTGCACCGTTCGAAAATCAAGTAAATATAACAACGGAGCCATGACCAGTCGATGCAGTCGTTAATCTATCAGTGAAGAATACTCAAATAAATAAGTTATTGTCACTTAGTTGGCAATCTGACTAATATTCGAGATTTGATAGCTAATAAACTGTGCAAAATTGTCGAAGTCTCTTGCCAATCTAGAGAATATATTTGATGAAAATCATACAGTTCGATAAAGCGATTCAAAATATATCGAGTTGTGTGCAGACAATGGGAGTTTACTGAACAACTAAGTTGTAATTAGCAAATTTTGATTTCAGAACTACCATTTGAAAAAAAAATGTTTTGAGTGTTCTTCAAAAGTCGCTGACTGCTCTACCTTAGATGCAACATAAATCAATCGAAAATAGTAGCATTTGATAGATTGAGTTATTCTCTATCCAACTATATCAAAGTTAGAAATTTTTGATCTAAAAGAAAACTATAGAGAGTCTAGTAAAAATGATCAAAATTAGCGTAATCAAGCTGTACAACAAATTCATCATTTCTTGTAAGATGATAAATGAGAAAAAAAGCAGAAAAGAGACGGTCTTGTATGTAAAGAAGAAAAAAGAATGGAAAAAATAACAAATATGAACCAAATAGATCTGCATGAAAAGCAAATTTTATCGGTTTAATTAGGGAAATAAAACGTATATTTATGAATAAGTAACTGAAAAGTCATCTTGAATCATGTTGATAACAACGAATGAACGTTTGCGATCGCATTTAAAAAATATTCTTGACAAAAATACACCTTATGTAACATAATGACAGCAAGATCATAGACAGATTAATATATTCAATATAAAACAAAAGCAATATCTTGTCTAATTAATATGAAGCCGCAAATACATGTAGAAAATATGTTGATGTCGACATGTCGATATCGATTACTTATAATCCTTCATATTATTGAATTTTGATTTTTTATTTAATCTATTCCTTGAATAAAATAGCAGAAAATATCGTATTTTCATATTCAATATAATTGTCTTTTTATAATTATTATCCATAAAATATACTGCAAACTAACTATTTAATATCTTTCTATTAACAAATTAATTCTTCGAATCACATTTTTTTTCAAAATGTAGTGGTTTATATTATATTATTGTTTGCCAAAAACAAAATAACCTTTAACTATTATCCACATTATGTACTTATAGTCATATTGAGAAATTTTAAATAATTTAGTATATAGAAGTATTGAAAGTACTTGAAGTAGCTCAAAGTAGCTCAAAGTAGCCTAAAGTAGCTTAAAGTAGCCTAAAGTAGCTTAAAGTACTTGAAAGTTCGTATGAAGTAGCTCAAAATCTGCTAAAAGTACTTTAAATTACCTCGAAGTACTTTAAAGTAGTTTAAAGTACTTGAAGTACAAAAGTCCGCCCTTTCCCCCTTGAAACACACACACACACACTCTGGGGGCATATCATCTGACTAAGCGTGAGGGCGGAAACTCACATACAGATCGTCTCTCTCAGGGAGGAGTGGGTGACAAGAGACGCACAGTGCATTTCTTTGAATGAGAGTGGAAATGTGTGGAGAACCAGGAGGAATGCTAAACCGTGGTAGACTCTTGCAGAAAAGTTTACTGAAAGTTAATAGACAGACAGTTATTAGTGTATATATATGTATACTGGGAGAGAAAGTAGAATTCATGCATGGTTTCTAAAAAAACATACAGCCAGACTATATAGAAGTTTTGAGTTATTTTGTAATTCATTTTCGTCATGGACTCCTTTTAAGTAATTTAAAGTACTTCCCCTGTACTGTTACATAATTTGGGCTACTTTCAAGTAGTTTAAAATAGCTTTGTACTTTACCATACTTTTAGGCTTGAAGTATGTTGTTTCCCCCTTGAGAACTTTACACAAAAGGACAGAGACTAGTTTATATCAATAAAAATAAGGACAGAACTGAATTATCTTTACAATAAACTTTTATACATCTCCCATTGTTGCCAAGGCCTATTTTTGTTCTGTTACAATTACTTCCCTTTCAACAAAAGCGACGTCCTCGCCACTCTACTGTTTGACCATCCTCTGCTTTAAAATGGAGAAATGTTCTTCCAGCTACGATCTACTGAGACTTCTGTACTTCCACATTGAACCATTTAGCTTTTGCCATTTGGTTTCCCTTGTTGTTGGTTCTATTGGCATCTTTGCTCGGTGGATGATCGTATCTCATAACTATCATTCAAACTACTTTTTGCTGCGTTGCTTCGGATTTTCTTCGGCTCACATTGTTGCTGTATAGGTCCACTCGCCAGATTGTCTCAACTCGGCGTACGACCTCTACATGTAAGTTCGTTTTTGTTTTTTTTACGCAGCACGCGAACTTGCGAAGGTCTGTCTACACTGCTGCGAGACGATTTACCCTGTTGGCGTTGAGAAAGTGATGGCATTGGCCTGAGACGTGTTACCCTTGTATGGATTTACGTTACGTTACAGACGAGTTACCATTATAGGAAGTTACGCTGCTATAAAGTGGTTTGTACGCCGAGGGGATTACGCTGCACAGAGTCAACCTATAGTGTAATTCACTGCATTTCTACCAATTTCTTTCAATGCCTGAACCGTGTGACTGTGCTTTATTAATCTAACTGCTTTAGATCATGGATAGTGGTAAAGGAAAAGAAATGTTAGTTATAAGAAATAGATCACATAACAAAAACGAGAAGGGAAAGAAACGACGGAAGACACCCAGAAGACGCGATTGTCTTCATGGAAGCCCTTTGAGTCCAGCAAATGTGAAGAACTAAAGTCAAGGGGAACAAGCGGATTCCGTGTATCGAAGATACGGTGGCGATACGTACGATACATACGATACGCTGGCGATACATACGATACGGTGATGATACATACGATACGGACGATGCGATTACAATCCAGAGAATATATGTAGAACTAAAAAGATAAAATTTCATTGAGTCATGAAAATACAAAATTCACATGATAGAATCGTGAGATTAAAACTCCTCTCTTAAAAAAAAAGTCAATTTTCGTTAAAAATTTCAAAATTACGGTAAATGTATGGAAATATAGTAAGGAGATAAAGCGGATTGTCGAATCGCGAGCTCGTACGCATTGTACAGATCGCCATGGGATCGTGCGAATCGCGGATACGAATGTTCCGCTGACTGCCGCCTTAGATCCGCAGGTGCTATGATATAGGGGTACTCTTAGGACCTCAAGTGCTGTAACTTGAAGGTACCCTTAGGTCCTCAAGTTTTGAATGATGGAAGTACCTTTAGGGCCTCAAGTCGTATATTATGGAAGTACTCTTAGGTTCTTGAGTGCTATATCTTGAAGGTACCCTTAGGTCCTCAAGTGCTATTATATTGAGGTACTCATAGGTCCTCAAGTCCTGTATTCTGGAGGTAGCGTTAGGTCCTCAAGTGCTATATTTTCGAGGTACCCTTAGTTTCCCAAGCCCTAGTATATAGGGTTACTCATAGTTCCTCAAAGGCTATTATATGAGGGTACCCATAGGTTCTCAAGAGCAATTATGCAGGGGACCTTTAGGCCCTCAGATCTTATTATATAGAAAAAAGGGTGATCCAAAAGTCTTGGCACCTCTCAAAAAAATTGTTCGTTATCCCTTATAGTAAACTCCAAAATGCCAAAACTTTGTTTTCTTATTCCTTGTAATGTGTCGAATACTATCCTCAATTTTCAGCTCTCTATCCTGACAAATAAGGGATTTGTATTGATTAACATTCTTGAAATCTTATTTTTCTCCATGTCGCCAAAATAATGGTTAGCGCATAATACATGTAAATGGACTGCCTTTACATTTCATTTTTCCACCATTTGATACGTTGTATTAAGAAAACAAAATATATTACATGATGCAACGTGAAAAGCTCTACAACCTACGCAATACAGCATATCTCAATTAAGTAGTGTTTGTTTTCAAGAAAAAGCAAAAAGGACGGGGGCGCATAAGAATATAAATCGGCCCACCA